TAATTCAGATGTTAAGTAAAATGCACTGTCAGCCAGACCAAATATATCTATAGCCAGATCTACCCCATGGGCTGCCAATGCATGGTCTCAGCTTTGGAGCCAGAGAGACAGTTATTAAAACTCTTTGACACTCAAGTTTTCTCATTCATGAAATGATACGTGGAAAAATACTCGACTGATTTTTTTTGAAAGTTATTTTTGGAAATAATTAGACTTACTCTTCATGTCTTTAAATGAATGTATGTAAAGTATTTTTCCAGTGTCTGCTACTGAGTAGATCCTCAGTTAATGGCTCTTATATTGATCAGAATCATGCGGTTTTTTTTCAACATTTTCTTCCCCAAACAATCAAGCAACTGCCTTTTCTTAGAAATGTAAAAGATTGCAGTGTCTGCAACTATCCTTCGGGTCAAGAGATGACTATTAGTGTAGAAAAGGTGTGTGGCTCAGCTCCCTTCCCTCAGCTGCCCTGCTCCAGCACCTTCCTTTCAGATCCTCTGGTCCTAGAGATGCCTGAATGTCACAGGCAGAAATATACAAATTCTACACTAAAAGAAGTTGTACAGGAACCTTTAAACAACAGCATCGAAAGCATCTGCTAAAGTAACGCTTTCCACTGAGTGCTTTGCTAGACATGGTACAAAGTGAATTCAACAGACATAGTTCCTTTCCTCTTGGAAGACCTAAGACATTACAAAGACAACAACAGATATTTTATATTCATATAAAGTGAGATAAATAGCACATGAACAAATAAATTAATGAACCTCCCTACAAAAAAGAATTGAGGAAAGGGATGCTTGCATTTATTGGTAAGAGAATAATCTGATGCATGTTACACCACGGGAAAACCACGTTGTCTTTTTCTATCAGGGAGCTCATAAAGAGATGAGATTTCGAAATTGAGTAATCTCAAGAGATTCCTTGGTGAGTTAACAAGAAATGAATGTCCAGATATATAGAGAGGGGAGCATTCCAAATACAGTGAGAGACTTGAGGAGCAGTTTAGGGATGGAAAAAGATGACTGCTTAAATGGATTTAAATACTTTTGCCTGGAAGGATATGATCCTGGGGAAAAACTAAGATGTGACTGACTAGGAAATTCTGAGAATGAAATGATATGAGGCAATGTTCTGTTGAACTCCCCAGACCTGGCCTTCCTCAGGTAATGTCCACAGGCCTGGGAAAAGTCTGCCATCTTCTAGCAAGAGCTTATTTATTTTCACCTGGTTTTGTGGTGTTTTTCAGTTGGTTTAAGTCAACTTGCTCCTCTATTCTTTTCTGTAGTCTTCCCGTGTAGGCTCAGGGTAATCTGACTACAAGCTAGTACTAGGGATGGAGACTCAGGAAGATGGGGACAATGCACAGTTGCTCTGTTTCTAGCAGGAGTGGTTCTCACTGTGTGTGACTAGCTTGCTGAACCATGACCATCTGCAGTGGCTGTCAGGGGCCTATGTGGGGAAAGTTTGCCTGAACTTTCCTCCTCTTAGATTCTGCTTATCCTTGACCGCTCATGTAGCTGTCTGTAATTTCTTGACAAGGAAATGATATTTCGTTTTCGTAAGGCTAAATTTGTTCCAGGGACTTTTTTTCTTCTTAAAAACATTGTGTCCCATGATTAACTAAGGATTAAAAAAAAGTTGTGGGGAGGAAACCTAATTTCTTCCAAAATCTTTGAACCTGTCAGTTGAACTCAGCAGGAATAAAGAAATAAGCTGATTTGAAATGTGATAACTAACTAGCTAAATACACACACACACACACACACACACACACACACACACACACACACACATATTTGTATGGAAAGAATTTCAGGATTCCAATATATTCTTTTTGCTTCTACCTATCCTGACAGGTAACAGAAAGCAAAAGTAAATATTTGTTTGTAGTATTCTAAACAAAGAGTTTGGTAGTGGCATCTGCTGCTTGGCTTCATCCTGGCTTCTGACCTACTTATCATCCGTGTCTTTTTAGGCAAGTTACTCAGCTATAGTCTGCTTTACTTTCCTTTATGATAGATGGGAAGGGAGAGGGCTACAAAGTAGCACCTATGTTAGACTGGCTATGGAGATTAAATTAATGCATGTAAACTACTTGAAGAGTGCCTAACACCCAGTAAGTATTGAATAAATGTTAGCTAGGATCATGCATATAATTACTGTATAATGATCATGATTGAGACTGAGAAGGTATGAGCCTAAAGGTAGGACTAAATTGAATTAGCCTTGGCCTAAGGTTCTCAGGTAGTTGAGCTATAATTAAATGCCTTTGGCCAATCCTTTTTCAAGTATCAGAGATCTTGGGAGGGTTAGCCCTGAGCAAAACTTCTGCTTCACCACGCCCCATGAAGGCCTAGAGACTGGGATGCCCTGAGAGGCCATATGAGAATGAATAGGAGGGAGACATTTACTGTAGTCCTAGCCTAATCCCAAATTCTATTAATTCAGCAAGTGATCTTTTCAAAGGGCATTCTAATATTCAAAATTCTCTGCATCTTCTTATATATTCCTTCTGCTAAACACTATACATTTTAGGAGATAAGAATAATAATACATGAATAAAATGTAAAAATATTTTTTCTCTTTCTAATTAAACATGACATACAAGTAGTTCTTGAATTAGAACTACTAATTCCTTAATAATAATATTATTATTATTTTCTGCTAGAGAATGTTTTATAGACATCTAGCAAGTGGCCTTACAGTTCCATTGAATTCATAGATATTTCTAAACGTTGGAGAAAATCTGAAAACTGGATGTCCTCTTTGTACGTTTCCATTGAAGTTTATGGCAGTTTCTGGGCACAATCACATCAACATTGCACATCTATAGATAGTTTACAGGTTACATAACTGTGGTTTTGGATTTAATTGCCAACTCGTTACCCTGATAGTAATTGCAGACAGGGGAATAACAGAGCAAAGGGGCCTGCCCATTGTGTTACTGCTGCCTATAAAAACAAATAGGATCCTTAGGGTTCAATTGGAGGACTTATAATTGCACCTAACGTTAAAATGGGAACTTTGGACATCTGGAAGATGAGTCTGGATTTGGTCACTTGCCTTTAGGAATTAAATTCATGAAATTGTGATGGTCCTAAAGAACAGTGGTGTTCCCACCTGGATTTATGCACAGGCAGAAATGACAAAGGTGAATGTGAGCTGGTCTGCAAAGCCACATAAGCCAGGAGAGAAGAATGGAGTTGGGTTGTAAACTCACAAGTAATCCAGGATGATGACTGGCTTCTTTGGTCCTAACATGAAAATAACTCATATAAAATGAAGAGCAGGTATATAAAAAGTTTGTTCTTACTTGGCAAAAACATGCATGGTTTCTGGAACTTGTAACTACACAGGGTGTCACTTGGCATCAGAGAGCCCATTTAGGAAAAGAATGACCCATGGTGACATGGGCTTGTTGGAAAGGGTCAGGAAAGGAACATATACAGCAAAAGGTACATAACAGCTTTCCGCAGAGAACGCTGGGTATCATTTTCCTCCACTCATCCCTCCTCTCCATCATCAAAGCCAAACAGTTACACAGTTATGCATGCTACGCTGCCCGATGCATTACAAATGCCAATAAGAGAGGTAGGACTGTTGTTTCTATTTTTTTTCTTTCTAAAGCTATGAAAAGTTCTTTGTTTGTTCCTTGTATAGTTTTAGGAATACCTTTGAGGAAATTGCCTTTATTCTTTATAGCAGATTTCATATAAAGCAAGTTTTGTGTTGCTTAGGAATAAAATTTTAGGCTTCTGGAATATTTTCTATTTTGTCTCTCCATAAAAAGATAATTTCAATTTCCCTAAATTATGAGGAATCTACTCTTCATAGTGTAGCAAAATTTTAAATTATGTAATTTAGATTACTCCAGAGTAAAACTTCTTAAAAACTGAGAGCCCAGCTTAAGTGTATGGTCTAGAGGCAAGAGTTAATGGCATGGAAAAGTAGTAAAAGGTTGGATTAGAAGGTTTAATACTTATGATCTCTCAGCCCATTGCAGTTTACTCACTCCTTAGGAGACACAGATGGGACACGGCAGGTGTGTATAAGGAGTGAAGCAATTCATGAATACTCAGCCATGAAATAGAAAATCAAAATGAAATAAGTATGACTGTAACTATCTTGGTCTATTAACATTCAAATATTAATACCTACTGTTCTTTGAAAGCCATTACTGAATATTTACTGATAAGAAAAAAATGATAGCTTAGGAAGAGGAAGATGTTCAGGAAAAGCATTTAAGCAGGGTTTGAAAGACTTGTGATTTTCTTAACTCAAGGTAATAGTCGACCAATTAAAGTAGGTTTCCCATCCAAATGTTTCCCATCCAAAATGATCCCCTTTTTTCCCCAAGCGATCTAATTTAGGATCCCTTGGAAAAAAATTCCAAAATGCATTACAACTATCCATAAGGGTGACACATGGACCTATTTTTCTAAGGACTTTGATTTAATATTTGAATGCAACGGTATTTGACTTTGTTAGTATAGAATATTTAAACTTAAAAAGAAAATATCTTAATTTGCTTATGCATAAGTCTATTAAACACATTTCTAGCGGATCTTTTTATGTTTATTCTCTAGAACATAACCTATCTTTGAAGTGGTATATTAGTTTTTAAAAAGTCATTCCTAAACTGAATAATTAAACTGAAAACAAAAGCTATTCTTAGGGTGTATTCCACATATAAAACTATGCACACGATGCTTTGATTCAAACAATATACTTATAAAACTTTGTTATTGTTTGAGTTCCATATTCAGAATGGCCACTTTTGTTTTTGATGATTATTCCATCCTGAAACAATTTCCCCCCTGCCCAATTAAACCAGAATTAGGAGCACATTTATATCTGAAGAGACTTAAGCTTCTCAACTGCCTGCTTCAGAAATGTAGACCTTTAGTGCTTGTGTTCATTTTGTCTCTTTGTGGAGGGCTCAAAAGAAAACAGAATCAATTCCCTTAAGTTTTTCTGGAAGAAAAAGGTTGCTTTTGTTGCTTTGATCTTAGCATGTTGTACATTTTTTATTGGCTGTTGAATATAAAAAGCCACAGCCTCATCTGGTTTTTCTGCTGTATTCTCATATTGTAAATCACATAATGCCTTCCAATCTAAAGTAAAATGCCTAAGTCCAAAATACCACTTCAAAATGGATTTATCATTATAGTTGATAGAAAGATTTCCAGGGTGTAAGAAAACAATTCAACAGTTTGATTAATATGCCACAGACTGCTAAAAATATATTCATGCATTTTAGACGATAAATTCCAGGATATAGACATACACTCATGCTATTTTAGATCCTTTTTTCCTACCATTGCAAGAGGCTGCTTTAGCTAATGCAACAGCTGGCTAGGTTATTGCTTCAACAATATAATTCATAATGCAAAAGCAGCTCTTTTCCAAACATTTTAGAGCAACTCAAGTTGTTTACATCTCCTGTGGGTGATTTTCCTATAACTTTGTGCCAATTGGTGTCATACTATTTGGTAAAAATCTACATTAAATCAAGACAACTGCACTTAGTTAAATTTCTCTCATACAGAGAATTATAGAAAAATTACAGTAGCTGATTTGAGCTCATCATCATTAAGTATATACAGGGTTTTAGAAAATGAATGCAAACTACAAAAATGGAGTTGTATAATTAAACATTAAATAGTCCAAGTAATAAAAGTCATAGATTAATTGTCTCTCAGTTCTAGTCAGATCCTTTAAATACTGTCTCACGACTTGAGCATTGGTTCTTTCATCGGAAGAGTGCCTATCCTTAAAGTTGGGAAATTTCAGCTCCTTTGGAGCACCAATCATCTGTAAAAAGTAATTGGCATCTTCTTCCAAAGTTTCAAATTTCCCTACAAAATCGTAGTTGATCAAACATGGATAGCAGAGTTTGCTGACCTTTTCCCAGTGAATGTCCATTCCTACTGGACGGTGGGAATCCAGCAAGTAGTGGATAAACTCTTTGAACCTGACTCCGGATCCATTAATTAATGCTTCTTCACAGGCATTTGGTCGGTATTTCTTGATAATTGCCTTTCCAAATACTGGATGGTAATAACTATTGGGGTGTTCAAATTTGTCCCTAAAGGCTGATACTAATCTTTCCATGGGATCACGAACAAACACAGCTTTGGTGTAAGTATTTAAGCGGGTATATATCCCTTTTAGGTCAAAGCTATCTAGCTTCTTCAAATGCTTCCCGTAGTGGACAGCATCATGGGAGATGTTGTATGCAGAGGAAGCCAATCCATTTAGTACCATCAGAATTCTTTTCCAATTGGAACAGCCAGCCTTAGGTACCTCGCAATATAAGATTTTGTGTTTATCTTCTACATAGATTCTGGATACCGTATGAAAAAGATGTGACTGATGATGACTCACCCCACCATATTTCTTGCAAAACTCCTGAAGGAAAGACCTTCGTTTCTCTTGGATCTCATCAGTTTTCTTCCATTTGTTATCTTTGACTAAACTTTTGTTTAAAGGGTGAATGTCCACTGGCCAATGCATGTTGCTGAACTTGTTGAAAACAGTCTTAGCTCCTTGATGTTTTTCAATCCTCCACTTCTCTGTTGGTGACCCTGTGGACTTACTTAAAGCTTGATCCCCTCCTTGCGAATAACTGGTCTTTGTTAAGACCCTAGTAGATCTCTCAGAATTGAGTAGAAGATTTTCCTTTTTTTCTCTTACATCCTCAGGCATGTGAAACTTGGGGTTCTGTTAAAATAAAGAAGGAGAAATGTTGAAAGCACAGTCACAAGTGTGGGTATACTAGATAAGGAACTTAACATATTTGTTTTAAAATACTATCGAGGAGAGCATATTTCATATAAGCTGCCAGAACAATTTAGCAAGGCATGCTGAATATACATTTTGTAGTGAGCTTCTTCACAGAAAATGTAGCAATGAGAAATGGCATCTACAGCATAGAGAGGAAAGATCCCTGTATTTTTGTTCTGGCTTTACCCGTAATGCAATAGAATGTAACTCAACCATTCTGGGCATCTATGACTTTTGGGATATTAATAAGTATGTCATCTTCAAGTACTGTTTTAGTTTGTGCACCTGAATGCAGATACAAACTGGAGATGTTTTGAGATTGAAACTTTTGTTGTTTTTAGGGAGCACTCTGTAATGCACAGAGTAGTTCAAAATCATAAATTACAACTTAAAATTGTGTCAAGGCTAATTATAAATCTTGATGACCATTTCAGTTTTCTAAGTGCTTACAAAAAGTCATGTATTTTTTTTTTCTGGGAAAATGCTCTATTTATCTAAAGTATTTATCACAATAATTTAAGAATTTATTATGATCATAGTATACAATCTCATTAATGTATGAGACCTTCCCTTTTTCCCAAGTGAAGAATGACTAAGGAATCCAGAAAAGTCTACTTCACGTCCTGCTCCATAAAGTTGTATCAAGGTAGAGTAAAAATGTAGTTATCTTTCCAGCAGGATGAATGAGTCCATTTACTACATAGTGTTCATCTTGCCACATCCTTCCTACAACTCTCGCAGTAAAAGAAGACATGGAAGATGGGATTTACAAGGTGGCATCCTCTGGTAGGGATGAAAATTTTAAGGACATTGGCGTTTACTCTGGGTAAACTAGGGAACTTTTGTAAGTAACATGATCTTACTTAGACTTGAAAAGGATGGTGTGGAGAAGAATGGATTGAGATATATATATATATATATATATATATATATATATATATATATATAAGGTTTTCAGCATGTTATTGGAAAAGTAAATGAATAAATTCTGTGCTGCGGGCATAATGCATGGTGTCATCAGCCTAGAGGTGGAGGCAGTAGTGGGGAAAGTTTCCTAGGGAATATAAACATGATTGCAAATATATATATATATACATGATACACATGATTGCATATATATGTAGTATATATGTGTGTGTGTGTATATACACAATTTTAAACTATTGTATCCCCAAGAGTGTCTAGAATGGTCTATAGCCTATAATAATTTCTCTCAAATATTTGTGGAATGAACAAGTGAATGAGTGAATGGAATTAGGTCTTCAAGGATAATTAGTAATTTTCTAGCAAATTAAGCAATAGAACAGAGGAATGAAGCACTGTTCATGGAGCCACTTCCAGACATCGTGGTCATTCCACCAGCTGAGGTTGAAGGGCGCTGCTTTTTTTCTAGTGCAAGAGGACTGTGTGAATAAGCCCCTGAACACCATATACCAACGTGTATAGCCCCGTATATTACTCTGTTCTCATGCTGCTAATAAAGACATACCTGAGACTGGGTAATTTATAAAGAAAAACATGTTTAATGAACTCACAATTCCACATGGCTGGGGAGGCCTCACAATCATGGCAGAAGGTAAAGGAAGAGCAAAGGCATGTCTTATATGGTGGCAGGCAAGAGAGAGCATATGCAGGGGAACTGCCCTTTCTAAAACCATCAAATCTCATGAGACTTATTCACTATCACGAGGACAGCATGGGAAAAACCCACCCTCATGATTCAATTACCTCCCACGATAAGTGGGGAGTATAGGAGCTACAATTCAAGATGACATTTGGGTTGGGACACAGCCAAACCATCCAAATCTTCCATACCACTGGACCATCTATTTGGAGTTTTAACTCTAAAACCATTTGTCTGCTGTCTTCTCCAGAGACTGCCAGGATTACTTCAAAGCCCTTTATACTTCTTTGCTCTAATCAGTGATTTGTAGTACATGAAGTTGTCACTGAAAATACAAAATTTGACTGTGGTTTGACAGATCATAGGGTTATCGGTACACATGCATGGAAAATACTTAGTACAGGCCAAATATAAAACTGCCATGATATTTGCACTATTACTTCTTCTGCTATTACCGCTATACATAATAACTACTATTATTGTTGTTTTAGCAGCAGCAGCAGCAGTAGTAGTAGTTACAGTGCTTTAATCCCAGGGACCTGGTGAATTTCAAGGCTCCCCATTTGTCCATTACTATTCAGTCTGTAATTTGTGTGTCCCTACATATGCCCTCACCAGGTCTCTTCTCTGCTTGACAATCAGAAACAAAAACAAAATCCACCTTCCCCTGTGGCTTCTGGACTTTCTGCTTTGTGGCTATCAAATTCCCCTTTAATCTCCAGGGATTTCTGGAATGTTTGTTTCCAAGACTCTCTGTAAATGAAACTTGGCTGACTCCCAACACTCTGTGTCTCTTGCACTTTCTCAAGTAGATGAAACTTCACTTCCTTAAACTACTTGTCTCTCCAGCCAGAAGATAGGGAGTGATTTCCCTGCAGACCACGGCTGCTTCCAGGACATCACCCAGCTAAGCCTCCTGCTTCTGTGAAATCAAAGTATTCTCCTTAAGTCTCCCTTTCCCCCTCCTCTTGTTGTCATCTACCTTTATCACTGATCTGTCCACTTTATGCACTCCAGCTTCTAACTCAGCTCCTGTCATTACGTTTATTGACTCTGACGTCCAGTCAACTCTCAGTTCCTTGACCACTTCGTTTTTAACAGAGGAGCTCTCCACTTCACATCAACCAGAGCCTTTACTATTCCCACCATCTCTCTGACCACCCTTGTCTCACCTTTCAGTTCAGTGTAATTTCCTGCTTTGCAATTCTTTGACCACTTTTCACTGTTACCCAGGTCTTAACAGCCAGCACGACTGGCTCTGCATTCTTCAGCTCTCAGTTGGAAAGTCACCTCTGTAAAAAGGCTTTCCCTATTCATCCTGTCTAGGTTATTTTCCTCCCTTCCAAAATATTTCCTACAGAACCCTGTTTATTTTTCTCATCACACTGAGAAATGATTTATTTCCTTCCCTGTTGTCTTTTTCACCCCACTCCACCTCCATTGCACTAGAATATAACTGCAGAGAGGTCTTATCTTTCTTGCTCTCTGTGGTACTAAGCACACTGCCTGGTGCATAGAAGGTGATCAAGACATAATTCTTAAATAAGTAAATGTGCTTATAATTTAATAGTGGTCTTCTAAACAATTGTTTTAGGACCTTGTTGAAGAAAAACAACATTGATCAAAAGGTCAAGTTAAACTTGCGTAAACAATTGACCAATTCTTGTTAAGGTGACGAGAATCTGTGTTTAAATAAACCTTTGGCAAAAGAGAAAACAAATAAAATAAGCACATGGGAAGCTGCTTGCAGTCAAATAGATGTGGAGGCTTCGAGTCTAACCTGCCTGCCAAATCAGATCCGTTCAAAGTTCCTCAATGCTGTCTCCAAACCCGTCAAGGGCTTCCCAGCAACCCGGATTCCCAGGCCTTACTGCGGACATCCTGAATCAGAATGTCTGAGTGTAAGGCTCCTGACTTTAATTTCAACAAGATCCCCAGGTACTCCAGTGGCAGTCATAGCATTTGAAAGGAAAGTATAAAAATAAGGCACAAGCCCTGACAAGTTCCTTTCATCCTATCTGGGGGAGAAAGACATCAAATGTAGTGGACTTGAATATTTCAGAAGGAGGGGAATAATTTGGATATAGAGTAGGAATGTCACATGAGCCCTCATTTAGACTAGATGCAATGTCTTTCTTGTTTATCAATTTCTCTTTGCTGGAAGACTTTGATTCCCAAGTAACTTTCTAAAGACTAGTTTAGCTGGGGAGATAACTGCATGAGGGAAAGGTTTACCACTCATTGTAAATTAGTCTCCTGCTAGTTTATTGAGTGCTAGTAAGTTTTCTCTACTGTAACCAAATTGAGATATGGCAAAAAGGGTTAATTCTCTAAAGCACCAGTGACCCACAAGGGTGGCCACCAGACCTTCTCCTGGAACTCCTCATCTCAATGTCATTCACCTTATAAAATCTGTTACTTGGGTTTGATGACATCCCTCCTAACCCCCACCCAACTCCATTTTCTTCCAGTCACAGCAAAGACTCCATGACTAAGGGGTTTACATTACTAAAGTCAAAGCTAATGACATTTCACATTTAAAGCTCATACCAACAAAGTCCCATCATCATCATCATCATCATCACAACAATAATAAAAGAATAAAATCTTACATCTCCATTTTCCTTGGGACACTTTATTCTGATTGTCCCTAAGGCAAACATGTATAATAAAGCCAAAATTATCCTGTTGCCTTCAAAAGTGGCTCCCCCTGTGTTCTTTTCCGTTTTTGAAACAGTCCTATTACTTTCCTGTCATCCACTCACAAAATCTGAGAGATGCTTTAACAATGGGAAAGTCAATTGGCTATTTTACATCTCATAATACTTCTATTTTTGTATCTTTCTAAATTAATTACGCCCTAATTGGATATTTATTATCCTCCTAATTAGTCTCCCTGCAATTATTACTAAATTGTTCTTCCTCAAACATTTTGTTTTTTATTTCTTAACATTTTGGACGGGATCCTCTAGCATCAGTGAACGTCCCCATTCCTTTGCTGGCATTTGCAGCCTGGTGCTGCTGAGCCTCTTCTCCTCTTTTCTTTTTTTTTTTTTTTTTGCTTCTCTCTTAACACATGCCCTGTCCTCCACTTGCTTTTATCTGGGCTCTCGGCATCCCCCACTCGTGGTCTCCTCCTTTCTTGGGACTTTCAAAATCTTCTAGTTTGATGTAAAAATCCTACTTTCTCCATGACAACCACCCAGGTCTCCAGTGAGTGATTCTACTCCCTTTGAAATGACTATAGCACTTAGTCTGTACCTCCTGTAGGGAAAGTAATTTTATTCCAGCTTCCATGGTTATTTGATTATT